AATACGGTTTTAGAAACCATTTGAGTACCGCCGTAGGGGTTTGATTCGCATATACAACCTCCAGCGAAAACACAGGATACAAAAGAGACAGGGGAGTGTAGAAATAACATTCAACGTTTACGTTTACGGGGAGTTTTTGATGGTATAATTGATATTTCTGTTTTAATTGGGGGCATTCAGTATTGAAAAGGTACAATGTGATAAGTCGAAGTCTCTAAAACAAAGACGATCAAAGAGTAAGAAAACACCCGGAATAGCACCGGGTGTAGCATCGAACAAATCATAATAGGCCATTAAAATTTCGCCCCGCCTTGTAAGTATTCCAAGTGGTGACACGTAGGATCCCAATAGGGGTGTCGACGTGTCAATTCACAAGGTCAACCTATATGCTGGTTTTCTTGCCTGCCACCCCCCACTTGATTTTTTTCTTTTCAAATATACCCCCATAATCCATATTATATATATTAAAATACTAGCGATAAAACCTTGATAAATTCATATTCAAATATACTACAGTTAAATTCCTATAAATTAATACAATTAAAATTAACAAAGTTTTATTAATTCAATAAAATATTAAATTATTGAACTAATATGGTAACATTTTTTTACAAAATCGAGACTAAAAGAAATTATTATTTAAGTAAAATAAATAATTTATAGAGATTTTACTGTATATGTTTTAATCCACTGGTGTTGTCCAAATACAACGGGAGACAATTAAACAACAGTATGTATAATCTGAAAAATATGATGTTTGTGTTAGTAAATCACAGACATTAGTCACCGCAATTATAGCCGACAGCCAAGATCATTGTGGTTTTCCAAATTAATTATTTAATTTAAATTCCTATTTAATTAGATAGTAGTTAATTATTCCAATAACTAAAAAGAAAAATCATTTTCGCTTTCACCAAGACCAAAACCCCCTAAATATTTTAAGGGTTTTAAGCTAGATTTAAGAACTTGAATTTAATTGGATAAAGAATTAATTACATAAAAACCCATATTGCAAAACTCATCTTTTTCAAAAAAAAAAAAAACAAATATGCAGAAGAATATCGATAAATTAAAATCATCGCTTAAATAATAGCTTCTTCTGATCCCAACTACGTAAAAATGAACGAAATTATTAATCTCAAATGTATTAATTTATAGAGGTTTGATTGAAATCACTTTTGCTTATATATCATCAATTTTTTTTTCTTAATACTTTAATTAATTGCAAAAGAGTCTATTACTGATTTACGTAATCGATCAAGTCAAGAAGGCTTATCTTAATTAAATCCATAAATCTTCTACTTTTATTCGGAAATGATTGCAACATTTCCACCCCTACCCCTCTGCCCTAGCTCATAATAATAAAGAACCCCATTAATTAAAAAAACAACCCTTTGATTATGACTCCATGATAAGATTACATAATTAAGGTAATTTCCCCATTCTTGATCATACACACATGACACATGCATGCATACATACATACATTTTTTCACGGACCGACAAAGTGCTGATCTACACTGTTGCCGTTACCGGAGGCCTTCGATTCTCTACCGATCATACCTGAAAATATTCTCTCTCTCTCTCTCTCTCTCTCTCTCTCTCTCTCTCTCTCTCTCTCTCTCTCTCTCTCTCTCTCTCTCTCTCTCTCTCTCTCTCTCTCTCTCTCTCTCTCTCTCTCTCTCTCTCTCTCTCTCTCTCTCACTTAAATACAATGACATGAATCTAACTCTCCTTTTAACATAACTCTCAACCGTAGATAGTTCTTGCATGGTTAGTTTGTAAATATTGTAATAATGTGTGGGTATATATATATACACACACACATATATACACACACGAGAGAAGATGAAATTACCAAAAATGGGTGCTTGAGAAAGACAAAGGTTTGGGCAGACAAACTAATCCCACTTCCCATTTTCGCATAACTAAACTCCCCACTCTTGTTCTTCTTTCTCTTTCATTCTTTTCTTTAATTTCTTTTATTAATTTAAACACCCACCCACCCCCAATCATCTCATCTCTTTCTGTGTGCTTTCAATGTGTGTTTTCTACGTGTATATATATATATATATATATATATATACATATGCTATATATATAACACTGTCTTTGTAAACCTAAGTTGTCTTCTGTAATAAACTTTTTTCTTGCAGAAGGCAAATAGTTTCAATTTTCGTCTCGAATATATATATATATTAGCAACGTACGGCCGCCATGAATTATAATAATAATAATAATTACGAGGCAAACACTTGTCTGAACCTGAGTTTATCATCACCGAATTACACTATTAATCATCCGTTTGTTAACCTAACCCTAGTCGAAGGCGGCCCATCGTCACCGCCACCATCGAATCAGATGGAGACACGTGTCTTCTCGTGCAACTACTGCAAAAGGAAGTTTTACAGCTCACAAGCACTTGGTGGCCACCAAAACGCTCACAAGCTGGAGCGAACCCTAGCCAAGAAGAGCAGGGAAGCGGGTTCAAATAATCCGGGTCAGGGTTCTGTTCCGGGTCGGGTTATCGGGCCGGATCACCATGCAGGTAGGTTTGGGAGAAGAGATCACATAGCTGCTGATGATCAGAAGCGCCATGTTCATCAAGAAGAGCTTGCCAAGCTTGACCTATCTTTAAGGCTTTAATTTTTTGTATTAATTATTTATTTTATTAATATTATATGTGTCTAATATTAATGGTTTTTAAGTGGGATTATTTAAAATTTATATTGAGATATTTAATTATGAAATTATTTGCCTGTTGTATTTTTCGAATCAATTAATTAATTAAGAGGTATTGGATTAATTTGTGTTCACTGTTTATATATCACTAACTGCAGCTAGCTAAGCTAGGGTTCATCACATGGAAAGATTATATTAATCAATTAATTCACATTAATTAATGTTTATTTTAGAATATAATAATCTAAGTTCACTAATGATATTAATTAATCATTAAAATAAGAATTATATTTTGTAGTTTAACTACTAAATAATTCGAATTTAATTTCTATTTTAATTTCCGGAGTTCTAGCGATCAAATAAATTAATTAAATTTCACTATACGATATATCACAATATAATTTAATTTAATTTAATTTTCAGGTTGAAAGTTAGGTTTCATGAGAAAGTGACGATACATAATAAAACATGTGATTAATAACATGGTCACGGATATATACTAAAGAAAATTGGAGAAAATGAATTAATCTGTATTTTTGTACCAAATTCACATAATTTGAGCAACCACATACTTACAATTCAATAATCTAAAAAAGGATGCTGTAATTAAATAATCAATCAATCAACAACCTTATTTAGGCAAATCATGCCCGTGGCTCTCTTAAGATAATGTCTCACTTACGCACGTTCCATTATATACTAATCACCTTTTTTAAGCATAAAATTACAATCACCCCCCTAAGTTATGTCATAATAACTTTAAGATCCCTATGGTATTCATAATTACGAACACCCTCCTAAAAATCAACGGAATGTTCGAAAGGTTAACTTCTGGCCTGGAGCGGTTGTAATTATGAATACATAGTGGTAATTATAATGACAAAAAATGCTCCAATTTTTACTTCAATTATTGTAGCTTATCTAATTTAGGGTTTTTAATTTTCAGATTTCAAGCTTCCCATTTTTTTACTATTTTTGGGTTTTCAGATTGAGGGATTCTAGTTTTTGCAATATTAAATAAAAATTGGACCAATTTATTTTGTTCATTCATTACAATTACCCATTGGGCACCAATGTCGACTATAAAAAATGGTCAAAAAATTAGAATTTTTAATTATTTATTATATTCAAAGTATTACATTAACCCAATGGGGTATGATATAGTAACTTTAAAGTCCTTGTAGTATTTGTAATTACAACCAGCCCTTAACATCAGGGTTTATAATGTTAAATTCGTGAGTTTTAGGGGGTTGGTTGTAATTTTCAATTCCACATGTATCTTAAAATTGTTATAGCAAACCTTACGGAATTGGTTGTAATTTATCCTTTTTTATTATTATTATTAATACGTAACAAAGGCCTTTTCTTTTATTTATACCCTGCTTAATTCTATTTTGATAATATATTTTAATTTTAAGAAAATATATCTTTAATATATGAGGTATACTATGGTTCTGTTTCAAATTTACATCATTATTTTATTTTATTTTATTTTGGGCAATTATGTTTTGGTAAAAAGATTATTATTATATTTTGCACTTGATATGCATATGAGATACAAATTAAATGAATTACCAAATCAAATAACTTGATTTAGATCGTGTGTGTGGTGTATTTATAGTAATTATGCATGAGGTCCAAATCACCTGGACTAATAACAGTTAGGTAATCACGATTACATTTCATTTCACACTTTATTTAATTTAAGTACCAAAGAAATATTTTTTATTTTTTATTTAAAAACCTAAATCCTTTTTAATTGTCAATTGATTTAGTACTTAAAGGAGTTTAATTAATTAATTAGTTTGTCAGTCTTATTTTATTTCACATCAGTTCACCATACATTGAAACTGATGATCATGTGATTCAAGTAACGTTAGTTGTCGATGGTGACGTGGCATGTCATTGTTCTCGTTATTGTCCGAACAAGTTTTATCTCGAAATATGTATATATTAAATAATAAAATATTTTTTTTCAATTAATCAATAAGTGCAATTAATATTATATTTCATGTGAGGTGTTTGGTCGATAATGTTTCAAATAATGTTTCTTATTTGGTAGCAAAGATAATTACTACTCAAATGGAGTTAAGTACGATCAAATAACTTACACATCTATATGGTATTGATAATTACAAATACACCCCTCAACTATTGTTTCGTCTAATCATTACACAACTACGAAATTACGACTAACTTAATTTTGAAGATTTCATAGAATGTTCAATACGAATTTCATATATAACTCATATTGTGTTTGTTTGATTTCATCGTTAGGGTCTATAATGAACAGTTAGTTTTAGGGGTAATTGCAATTACCAATACTATAAGGGCTTATAAGTAATTATTTAGTCTTATTTGAGGGGCTATCCGTAATTTACCAAAAAAAAAAATCATAGCAATATTTTGCTGGTTACAAAATTGGACACGAAACAACTAAAAATGATGGGGCCAACACGAATTGAAGCAATAATGAATTGAATGCACAAAATAAAAGAATTAATAATTAATTCGAATTAATTAATCAAGGTTATTTGTTCTTCGTGTGTTGTCTTCTTGATCACTTTGGTACGTGTGAAGTTAATTAATTAAGGTTCACAATGAATGTAATTAGTTAAATCAAAGTCTTAATCAGAGGTAATCTTTGAAAGACACACTATTATAGCTTTTGACAACTAATTTATATCATGTCCGTTGTGTTTATGAGTTTTGTGTTTGGGGAAACCATGATTAGATGTGACCATTATCTTGGTTTTCAATTTTCACATGTCACAATTAATATACATACACACACACTATAGTATTCATGAAAATAAAAGTTGTCGGCATAATAATCTGATTTACGAGATCCTACATCTGGTGAAATACACCATGTTGTCCGTTAATTTCCACATACACGTGAGTCTATGTGTGTGGATCATGGTGTAAAATAATATACTGTATCTCACTAAATGTAGGTTCTATAAAACCGACTTTCGTCGATGCAAATAAAAATAAAATCCCAATAGGCAATAACTAAACTTGACTTGAAAGCGATGGCAATCTTGTAATTTCGTTGAATTCTATATTGGGTCAACTTCTTTTTTGGGCCTTGACCAGTAAAATAGCACTGGACCAACCAATGGTGTGACTCGCAGCTTAGCCCAATTAAGAATAACAACTCAGCCCAGCCTGGAAATTAAAAGTTTTAGGGTAAATTACAGCCAACCCCTAAGATAAAATTAAATTAAAAAAAGGTCCTTCATCTTTGGCTAATTTCAACCACTTTCTCAATTATGAATCGTTTTACACGTCCATCTCTACAGTGTCAAACTTAGTAGAATCTTTTAGATTATGTAAAATATTCTTCAGTTGTACTCTTTTTACCCCATTCGAGCTCCACATTCTGAAACAAGATGATCGATCATGAGATGTGTCTCATCATGGTGCATCAAAAACTATATTTTTAACACAAAACGAGTACGAACTAGAAAACATTCCGCATAATCGAAAAGTTTATGTTGAATTCGACACTATAAGAGTGAACGTGTAAAAAAAATCACAATTGAGGGGATAATTGTAATTATCCAAATATGAAAGTTTTTTTTTATATTAATTAAACATTATCTTAGGGAGTGATCGTAATTTACTCAAAATTTTAAACGTCCCATTGTTTGTTTTTTTTTTTACTTTTTTTTTTCGAAAAAAAAAATCGAACGAAAACCAAATTTATTTAGTAGTGAACCATATTTGGAAAATGTACATTAAAAAAAACACTAATTATGCAGCGTTGCATTCAGGAGGAAACCCTAGAGGAAATCGCTTAGCATCGGTGCAGTAGTTATAAATCATGTAATTCTTCTGCACCCATTTCAGTTTCTCCTCAGCCGTCGGATCCAGAATCTCCGACATCCACGGCCTGTTTTCGTCGGCGGAAGAAGCACACGAGGATCCACCGCCAACTGTACAAGCATTTGCAGTGAAGTTTGTGTAGGTGGCGGTGAACGGAGCTTGTGTCCAGTCGGTCTTGATAAGCCCGCCTCTTGTCGCCCATTGGTCCGCATTCCATATGCTTGAATATAGCTTCATTCCCTGGTTTTTTGGGAATTTCACCATCTTCGTTTCCATGTTCTTGAATTCTCTTATTGGCGTGTTGTCCACCGAAAACCTATTTTAGAGAGAGATACAAACAATAAAATTTACCCCTGAAAAATCACGTGTGATTGGCATACTCGCATGTCCGGTGAAGTTTTGCCCGGAAATGACCGATTTCGTGATCGGTGCTCCAAATAATAGAGTTTGGTGGGCATTGTACAATTTTTTTAGTCTAGGGACAATGTGGAAAACATGTCAAAGTTCGAGGGGCAAAATGCCATTAACTCTAAAATAAAAAATAATGTTCGCCAAAAAACCCCATTTAGTATTCTTGTCGTTTTTCAGCAATGCAGAAGTATTAATTATCATTTTAGAAAAAAAAAACACATTAAAAAGATTTAAATAACCTTGATCATTTAATGATATAATAAGAGAGAGTTCATACTTAGAGTTGAATTAATAAAGTTAAAACTGGAAAAAATGCATTAAATGCGACATTGAAAATCTAAAACGACAGATAAATATAGAACAAAAATATTTTTAAAAAGAAAGTTCTTATATAACATATGGAGTAATGAATAATAATTAAGAAAAATCATGTGTTATTTCGAGCGGATAGAATACTCGATTTAGGACACAAACCCTTAAACGTTGTATTCGGGGTAAATTTACATTTTATTTCGGGATAACGACTATTTTGAGTATGAAAGTATTATTTGCTAAACAATAATATGTAAAGTTGGCTAGCAAATACAATAAACATAAAGATAAGGGTGTTGAATGCAATAAAACCAAAAAGAAAAGGACCCGGAAATAAATTCAGAATGGGGGTTAAGAAGCTATAAAAACAATTATAAGTGGGTTAAAATATAGAACTTACACAATAGTTTGGGGATTCCACAAAATAGAGAAAGTGTGAAAATCAGAAGTAGGATCAAACCACAAGTGAAACTGCTGCTCTCTCTCCCCTTTCCCCTCAGTGTACAAATTCGTATGCACAGTGTACGGCTCTCCGGTTGTATTCCCCAAGAACTCGAAATCGATTTCGTCGTGATTTTCGCCTTGCGACGACAACTATACGTACATTAATTCAACACAAACAAATTCATTAATTTAAATTCTTCCTCAAAAAAAATAATATATAAAAAAAGATTTTGTTTAGTGGTAATTTGGTTATTAATTACATAATAAGCGGTGACGGTTCCGGCGGAGTTTCCGGGGACGAGCTTGATCTGCATGTCGATTTTGCCGAATAAATATTCGTTCTTGGATTCGAAGCCCGACCCGGAATCTTTGTCGAGGGATAGGGTTATGAGCTCGCCATTGTTGAGAATCTTTCCTCTTCCTCCGCCCCATGTGATTTCGAAGTCTTGGAAGTAGTTGTTGCCGGGAACCGCCATTGATGACGTCATTACAAGATGGAAGGTGATCAAGAAAGGGATTAGACCGTTTCTTGAATGTACAGAGGAAACCATTTTTTGTTTTGTTTTGTTTTGTTTGTTGTGTAACTGATCAGCTGAGGGTGTAAGAATTATTTAAATAGATATTTATGTTTTTGCATTTATGTATGCATGAAAAGATGGTAGACACATTATAAAATACATAAATAATATATAATAAATTATCAAATGTGGCGTTTTTGTTTGGTGAGAAACTGACATCTGGAAATCATGGGACAATGGTAGAAGAAGCAAAGTTGTGAACAGCTATATACCCATGCATGGAATAGATAAGCTTTATATATATATATATATATATATATATATATATATATATATATATATATATATATATATATATATATATATATATATATATATGACAAGAATGTATAAAGGGCCTTGGAATTGGAAAATGTTGCATGCATGCATGTTTCTGCCGACTGGATTTTTCAATTTGGATCTATATTATATTCACTTCAATCAGAAAAATGATGAAATATATATACGGAAAATCCAGTTGTTCGAGCTCGAGCTCGATTAGTGTTCGATTTAATTTAAGTTCATTCGAACTCAAACTCAATTATTTATTGGATAAATTACGGTCAACCCTTGAAGTGCGATTAAATTATGAAAAAAACTCTCACGTTTGGGTAATATTTACAATCACTCATCAACTATAAATCTTCTTTAACGTCCAGTCGTCCACACTTGTTGGTGTTAAATTTAGTGGAATCTTATCAATTATGTGAATATTCTTCAGTTTGTACCGATTTTATCCCATTCGATATCCACATTTCGAAATAAGATGATCATAAGATGTGTCTCTTGGCTTGTAAATATCATATTGTGGTGTATCAGGCACTGCATTTTTGTAAAACAAGTACAAACTAGAGAATATTCTACGGAATCTAGAAAATTATTTTTAATTTGACGCCATAAAGGTGAACGTGTATTAAAATTTATACTTGAAGGTGTTAGTTGTAATTATCCAAACAAGAGTGATTTTTTCATAATTTAACCTTACCTCAAGAGTCGACCTAATTTACCCTTCTTTAATGAACTCAGTTTAAATGACATATAGCAGAAATAATCAAATAACAAATTTACAAATTAAACTTTGCAAAAATAAAAACATTTCATTCATCTGATTTCAAGCAAATTAAAAAGTTACAGAAAATTTCCAACTAATAAAAGAATTATATATATACACAAATCAAAAATTAATGACTAATTAATTAATTAATCTTGCATTCAGGACCAGGTCCCTTAGGAAACCTCCATTTGTCCGTACAATAATCATACACCATATGATCCTTCTGCACCTTCTTCATCCTAGCCCTACTCCTCCTATCCAACTCCATTTTCAGCACGTTTTTCGTCGTGAAATCGGAATCGCTACAAGACGAACTCCTCGTAAATCTCGACCAAAAACACGCGTCCACCGAATAATTTCTATACGAAGCCACAAAAGGTGCTAACGTCCAATTCGTTTTCACTCTGCCATGCTGAGTAGCCCACGCATCGGCGTTCCACAAACTCGAGAATATTCTCATCGGCTGATTTTTCGGAAACGGTACGCCTAATCTCTCCGCGTTCTTGTATTCCCTTATCGGTACATTGTCCACGTACCAACTAAGCAGTGAGGTAAAAAAAAAAATCGTAATTTTTTTAAAGGGTACTTATTAGGGTTTATTGCAATTAGTACCCCTGTGTTATATCGAATTGCTAAAATACTATCCTGTGTTATTTAATTGGCAAAAACCCCTATAAATTATAGGGGAATTTTGACAACAAAATAACATGTTGGGTAATTTTTTAATAATTCGATATAACAGAGGGGTACTAACTGCAATAAAGTGTGTACTTATAAGTTTAGAAGAAGTTATATGAATACTTACACAATGGATTTAGGGTTCCAAAGAATGGAGTAAGTATGAAAATCTTGAGTTGGATCAAACCATAGGAAGAATTGTTGCTCTCTATCACCCTTTCCTTGGGCGAAAACATTTGTGTGGACGGTATACGGATTTCCACTCGAATTCCCGAGAAACTCAAAATCGACTTCGTCGTGTTGATCGCCGTGCGACGATAGCTGCCACGTCATCGTACATATATCGAAAGAGTTAGCCCTAAGTACTACGAAAATAAAAATTTTGTATATTTGGACAAAGTTTAATTGTTGTGATGAATTGTTATTCTTACGTAATAAGTTGTGATTGTGCCTGCGGAGTTTCCGGGAACGAGCTTGATTTGCATGTCAATTTTACCGAATAGTAATTCTTTTCGGGATTGGAAACCGGATCCGGATATTTTGGAGAGAGAGAGTGTGAGGAGTTCGCCCCGTTCGAGAATACTGGCTTGTGGCTCGCCCCATGCTATTATGAATTGCTTGTAGAATGTCCCGTTTTCGTCCTCTGGTTTTGGGCGGGTGGTTATGTTTGGATTGCTGTTAGAGTGATCGTCACGCAATTAAATTACAATTTGCAACACTCTATATATATTGAAATTATTTCTTACGTTTGAAGTTTTGTTGAAATTTCTTATAATCTTTACAACAGTAGCGAAGCCAGAATTTTATGTTCACATGGGCCAAATATACAGATTACTCATAAAATAACAAAAATTGTAGATAAAATACTAGAAGTGGAGGGGGGCCATGGCCCCCTTTACCGCTATGCCGGCTCGTACCTTATTATGGTTTCTTGAGTACGCCGAGCCGTGGAGATTGTTTGTGAAATGAGGACGTCCAACTGCAATATATCATTCAATCAAACACGTGTAGTTGCGAAATATATATTATCGTACACGTACGAGACATATACGTATGCATGTATTTATACACGTATAGTTGCGAAAGAAGGTTGTAGAGAAAAAAGGGAGGGAAACCTTGAAGACAAAGATGGCAGAAAAGACGATGAAACCCAAGTAGGGGACGAACTTGCTCGAACGAGGTTGGTGGGAGTTCCGAATTGGTGGCATAATACCGACTGATCTTCTTCCGAAATTAATATGCAGAGCATTATAATTTTCTTTAATTTGTTTCAATCTTCATTACCATGATTTCTTATCTTTGTTAATTTTCTTGTTTGTAAGTACATATGTTTGTTTCTAATTTTTTTTGTTTTTTTTTTGTTTTGTTATTTGTTTCTTGTCTGATGAATGGTAAACCGGTGGTCATCCACAAGTCTTGGATTGTTCAATGCTTTGTTACAAAATGGATGGCAGTAAAAACATGTGGTTAGATAGTCACAAATTTAGGATTAACACCTTAATTAATTAATTATAATTAGGGAAATTTATATGACTGAACTCAATTACAGAATTACTAAGCTAATAATGTATTGATTGGAAAGTAACTCTTTAAATTGACTACATAAATCATATTAATTTGATGTCAACGTGAACCTACACTCTCGTATAATATCGAATTTTGATCAATTGACATAAATTCACTTGCTTCAACCGCTGCTAAGCCATTCCTATTAATTAGTTAGTACGAATGTTAGATTCTCGTATTATATGTAGTATTAAAAATATAAATGGTATCAAATTTGATTTTCAATAATCTAGGCAATTATCATATTTTAATATTATATTCATTTTAGGGACAAGTTCGTCTCGTTTATTTTTTTAGTAACTACCTACAAAATATTTAGCCCCCTTTGAAAGAGAAAATCTCAATTTTTGTATCAATTACATAAATTACATAAATAAATAAATAAATAAATAAATAAATAATAAAATCAGTGACAGCTTGGAATTATTATCGAATAAACGCGGTAAGAGAAGAACAAAATTCCCTCCATTTATGAACACTATTAGTTACTTAGTAACAGAAAAAAAAATCCTATAATCCAGACAAGAACCTTTCAAAACCGCGTGTACGTTATATATAGTTATATATATATATATATATATATATATATATATATATATATATATATATATATATATATATATATATTTCTCCACCTATAAAAAAGATTATCTCACACACTTCTTACACTCACACAGTAATCACCATTTTCACTACCAAAGGAAAAGAAAAGAAATTCCAAAATGGCATCAAATAATTATTCCCTAATAATAGCATCACTAATACCAATTCTTATGACCAGTTTCGTTTCCGCCTCGAATAACTTCTACCAAGATTTCGACCTAACATGGGGAGAAGGCCGTTCGAAAATCCTCAACAATGGAGATTCTCTTACACTCTCCCTCGACAAAGCCTCAGGCTCCGGTTTCCAATCCAAGAATCAGTACCTTTTCGCTAAAATCGACATGCAGATCAAATTAGTCCCCGGAAATTCGGCTGGCACAGTCACCGCCTACTACGTAAGTCGCCATTTTTCCGGGATTTTTGTAATAAGTAATATGAATTTATTTCTCACCATTTTTTTTGGTTGCAGTTATCGTCACAGGGGGTAACGCACGATGAGATAGATTTCGAGTTCTTGGGGAATCTAAGTGGCGACCCGTATATTGTACACACTAATGTTTTCAGCCAAGGGAAGGGTAATCGAGAACAGCAATTTTACCTTTGGTTTGATCCAACGGCAGATTTCCACACCTATTCCATCCTTTGGAATCCCCACAGAATCATGTTAGTTCTATTTTTTTTTCTTTTTTTAAGGATAAAGTGCATTTCTACCCCTATAAAATTCCCATATTGGCACTTTACACCCCTTTAAAATATTGCTCTTGTTGCACTCTGACCCGAAATCTAATTTCCGGTGGGCAACGTGCAATAAATTACCATTTTATAGGGGCCTCGTCCAACGAAAATAACATTTTTAAGGGGCATCGTCCAACGAAAATAACATTTTAAAGGGGCAACATGGAAAAGAAAGAAAAGAACCATTTAAAGGGGCAACGTGCAAATAGGATAATATTTAGAGGGGCAAAATGAAAAAAAAAAAACACATTTTAAAGCTCAGTTCCGGTGAATAAACCATCAAAATTCAAATATAGCATTTTGAAGGGGGACGCTCAGTTGTTTTGATTTTCGAGGGGGGAAAGTGCGAAAATTGAGTGCAATTTGTCCATTTTCGTATATTATTCGAGATTTTTTCAAGAATTTTTCAGCAGCTGATATATGTATAAATGCATACATGTTCTTGATTGATCTGCAGATTTTCAGTAGATGGAACACCAATAAGAGAATTCAAGAACGCAGAGTCAGTAGGAGTACCGTTCCCGAAAAGCCAGCCAATGAGAATATACTCGAGCCTGTGGAATGCCGATGACTGGGCGACGAGAGGTGGACTCATCAAGACGGACTGGGCCCAGGCTCCGTTCACCGCTTCTTACAGAAACTTCGAAGCAGTTGCATGTGTTTGGTCCCCATTCGACGGCTTTTCTACCTGCAATACTAAGTCTAGTCCAAACAGTGTCGATGCATGGCTAAACGAAGAATTAGATTCCACAAATCAAGAAAGATTAAAATGGGTGCAGCATCATTACATGATTTATAATTACTGCACCGATGCCAAGAGGTTTCCGCTAGGTTTCCCTCCAGAATGCGCTGTCAACACTACATAATCATGAACAGAAGAAACTAGCCAGCTATTCGAGGCGAATAATTCTTAGGCATATTCTTTCATGACGAGTTTATACAATTCTTTGATTTATTTCTCTACTTTTTCATGCATTCGTTCGACATATTTAGGTCACGAGTACCAATAATCAAGAAAAGTCGAAAGATTTAGACATGACAGATAGAATTGTTTCCAAAAACTATCAGTTTCTGGAAAGTTCCGAAAGCTTAGCAGCAAATCAGAAGAATGAATCTCAGCAAAAAAGTTCAAATAAAAAAAAAACAGAGAGGAAAATCATTACAATAGAATATCAAATTAAGAGTACAAGTGTCAGAAGAATTCATTTTCTCCACAAGTCAACATCGAAAAATCCTAAACGAATGGAAAAATACTTACCAAACATGTTCAGACATACATACACACACACGGAAGTAAAGCAACAAATCAAGCTGATAACGAGCGTTAATAATAAGCAAACAAACTTACTGTACAGGCAGCAACTGTACATAAAATCATCGAATTTCGACAGAATATATAAATATATTCTCGCACAAGCCAAGTTGTTATTCATCGTCGAGCTCCACGATACGAGCCCTCCTTTCAGCAGCTTTCTTCCTGATAAAGATTCCCCACCTCATAGCAGCCTTGATCTTCAGCCAACCAGCCACAGCCTTACCTGAACGAGCTCTATCCTCACCAAAACTGAAACCTGGAGAAGGTGAAGGCATGTAAGAAGGAAAGCTAAATCCATCTTCGGGCCCACTAACCGAGGCATTATTGCCTCCCATGCTGAAAAGTCGAAGCAAGTGCTGCATATCTTCGTTTTCGAGCATTTCGTGACTTCTCATGCGAATTTCGTCTTCGGACAAAAAGTCGTCGATGCCCTTGTTGTTGTGGTTGGTTGACCAGTCTTCAAGGGGACTGAGGGCAAGTCCGACCTTGTTGTCATATGTTGTAGGATCTTGGATTTGGTTGGTATGGTCGATCGGCTGGTTGTTATGGGTGAAAGAGGATAGTTCGAAATGGTTGCGTGAATTGGAGTTTATAAGCTGAGGTTGGGTGGAATATCTAGCTGTCAAGTCGTCGTTGTAGCCCAAACCTGGTTCAAGAACGAGGTGTAAAGTTATACAAAAGGCGGGAAATAAAGCCATGTTCATGAACATAAAACTAAAACCTCGCTTGGGAATTATGATAGGACTTGATAGACAATATAAAACTAAAAAGAATGAAAAAAAAGGGCCCGGTTTTAAACACGCATATGAAGGATATTTAGTCCAAATTTAATCCCGATTATTACACAATCCTATGAAGGATATTACCCATGCAAGGATTGTCAAATCGCTAATACTAAACATAAGATAATCAATCAGATATTGCATTATCGGACAATGTAATCCTAACCAATTCAACCAATCTACTTAATCCCATCAACATTCCCAAACGAGGCATAAGGGGTCGGCAACGGCTACACATTTAACAGCTGAAAGTCCAGTTACTTAGCAGAGTCGTGAAGGAAAAATTAAAAGAAAAAACGGAAAAATAACTTGATATGCGAAAAGGAGAACGAAGAGGAAGAATGCAGGGAACAATTGTTTACAAACAAGACTAAAAGCAAGGTGAAACTATACCATTAGATATGCTCATTTTTTTCACCATTTTTTAGGAATAAATAAAAAATGATTATATGATGCTCACCTCCAATTAGCATGCTCTGATCAACTGGTGAAGGTTCAGAGGGAACTGACAATGGCAATCTCTGTGGTAGAAGATGGTTATCTACTGAGTGAGGAGAATAATCAACCTGCCCTAAAGTAAAATCGCTTCTTGATGTGCTGGAATTTGTAATTTGCTTCAAATTTAAGAGTGATTTTCCGTCGTACTCCACAACTTGACTCCAATTTTCATATGCTTTCTTCACCCAGCTATCCACATAACCCTACACATATAATTATTGATTTAATGCATCCATTATGTACAGCCTTCACTACTAGCAAGCAAGACAAAGGTTCATCTGAAGAAAATGTGATTTTTTCTCCCTCAAATGACACAGCCTAAAGAGAAATCATTCGCTAATTACGCAAGTAAATCAGATACACATGCAAGTAAATAAATTCCACCACCGGGGCTTAGAAAGTAACAGAGAGGTCGATGCTGATAAGACATGTCTACAACAAAAAAAAATCAAGAATTATTTAATACCATCAACAGAGGATTTTTTTAAGCCACAAACAGAACCTGCTTTTGTTGTTTAATTAACGAAAAATTCTACTTAACCCATATTTAAGCAAGCACCTTATCTTATAAAACCTAACCGTCATGAAATAAACAAAAGAATCAGGCATGAATACTCGGCAAACCAAACTTTTGCTCAAATTTAGATCATAAATAGATGAGAAAATAATGCATATAAAAGCGTATCTAGAAGTCCCTAAACTTGCAACTAAGAACCAAACACTCTTCAAACCATGCATAAGTACTGGCCTACCTTCTGGCTGTCAGAAAGTGAATCTGCTGGATAATATTGATCATTAGCTATGAGGCCACTCAGCTCGTATATATTATTAAAAACAACACCCACATTTCGAGCATCATCAGGGTAATATACATAAAGCTTCCCGCTCAAGACACAAGTCTTTGCATGCTCTATGAGAGCCTCCCACATCTTATTCGACATACCACTTCCGAGAATCTGCCAAAATCAGATATCAAAGTCAGATTATTAAAAAGTCAAAAAGCACTTCAAAAAATAGAAACAATTCGTAAAAACTTACAGTCCTCAATTTCTGAGAGTCCCTGACCACAAGCCGAAGGAAGTCCTCGACACTATATATTCCTGCATTATTAAGCCTCTTATGAAATGATCCATCTTTCCCAATCTTCTCCAATCTCCATACTTCATCATTGAGAGCAGGTGGATAATGTTTCTTGTACACTGTCAGAAGTAAATGCACTTCAATAAATAATTCAAGAAGGTAAGAAGCTATCACGAGTGCAGTACAGAACGCACATTGGACATAACACGGGCTAATATGGCATGAACACATATCGACAGGGTTTAACCAGTATACTTGAAAGATTTGTATTAACAAAAAGTGCATCTAGTTGGCTTCAATTTCACAGCTTGAAATTATTCATTGGTGATTGCCACTTGTAATATATCATATTTTTCGCACATATCAATTCATTTACATCAGTTATTCATCTCTGTACTTTATCAGTTTCCAGGTTGACATGTTAGAACTTGTTCATCCTAATTTATCCAAATATTGTCTAACGCAATCTCAGTTACCACCATATATAAAAACTCATGCATTATAGACGAGGACCAAGAAATATAAACATAGTCATAAAGTTGCATACATTCCCCACGGTGATCTTTCACAACAAACGCTTCCGTCTTCCCTTCACGGATGCGTACACCCTCACAGTATCCCGATGCAACTTTCAGACCAAGTCTGAACTTTCTGCTTCTTATCCAACTCGAATTATCTGTAAAGGTGAGATCTCCAACAGTTCCAACACCTTCCTTGAGTGTGACTTGTAAATCCCCAGTCAAAAGAGGTCGCTTTCCCTCACGTTCTTTCACGAGATGGCTATCAAACTCTTCTTGACTCCACCCTTCTTCGTCTTCATTGTTGAAGTCACCTTCCAGAACAACTACATCCAGCTTCACAGAAGATTCTGGTCCAGCTGTTACAGCACGGCCTGTGTTTGCATCTATTAATACAACATGAATAGCGGCACCCTGTTCTCCCTCTACTTTCCCTCCGGTGAAAAGTGGAAAGGAGAGCCTGGACTTGAAGTGAAGCTGCAAGTTTCTGCCACCTGGCCCATCGATACGTTTAGGTGATGACCTGGAATTTTAGAGTATTAGGAACAACTCAACAAGAGCAGATTAAATAAACAAATAAATAGAAGTTGTGCAAACTACTAATATATGTTGTTTGTGGTTTTTTTTTTCCCTAAAATCCATTCAATTTCTAGATATATGGCCAAATCAACCTGTCGAGAGTTCTATACAGCCCTTATAACAATAGAACTAAATGATCCCATCAGAGATTTAAAATATATATCAACTTGAAGGAGCAACATAATAAAATGAGCTTTTAAACAGTACAAATCCATTCAATTTCATGTGTTAGTTATGAAATGAAGTATCGAACCTTCCTTCGAGTCTGGCAGGGCCCAACTTAGCCAAAGCTCGTTCAACTTCTTCACTAACCTATTCAAGAAAAAGTTATAAATAAGACAGTGTTCGCATATAAGTTCATAATTAGTATGTGCATGACAGAACAAGCAAATACTGCAACATAATTGACAAGGAATTTATCGTTACCACTCTTCGGAGAATTGGTTCTAAGGATGAGCAAAGCTTTTGGAGGCTATCCACCTTAAGAGCTTCCACAATAACGCTGCATAAAACACAATAATTCATCACATAATCAGAATCTTTAATCCTTTTAGCATCATACAAGTATAAATCTATATCGTTGAGAGTGTGGACGGACAAGACGGAAGTTCAAATTTACACGAAACAGTACATAAGTTGTTATACATCTTGAAAATGAAATCCAATGCCCGTGAAAAACACTAAATACGTAACATCTTGATACAGCCACCGTTTCCTTCTGCATAACTTTTCACTCTTCCCAAATTTCAAAAGAATTCAACTAAGTGACAGAGACCCAACTGCAATAATTCACCGCAAATTAAGCGGACAAATATTCCCTCGTGGCTTATCATTTCTAAGTACCCAAAAATCAAGCATCTTCTTTTCAAAAAATATACAGATTTCATTCAAACTCAGCAAAGAAAACTGACGAAACTTGGTAATTTAGTTACCTAGCTAGAGCCGGTCTTTTTCTCTCCGACTCCTGCTTCTCTTCATCATCCCCACCTTCCAAACTCCTTTTCCCTCTACCTTTCATCGAGTTCGTCCTTTCCATGTACCTTGTCTGCATTTTATATCTTCCAAAACACCAACGAAACACAAAAATAAGCCAATAAACCATAAACCCATCAAAACAAAAGAACCCCCATAACAAAAGGACAATATCTATCTAAATTAAGTCAAAGATCTCAATTCGCCCAAAAAAAAAAACCCTCTCTTTTTACTACTCAAACAACCAGATCCCACAAAATACACCAAGCAACACAAAACGAAAACCCAAAACCCATCCCCCTCTATTCAAATTACACTTAAAACTAAAAATTACCTGATGAGCAGCTGAGCTGCGGCGAAACAGAAAGTGTACGGCGGCTGCTAACACGATTTTATTTTAAGGGTTTCTTTCGTGGGTATGTGCGAGAGATACAAGGAGTTGGTGACTTTGGACGGCGATTGCGACTAAATCGCCGGCGGCAAAGAACTGCAATTTTTGTTGTACAGGATAAAGAAGGAGAGTTGCAGATCTTTTTGGGTTTCGGCGATTGCTTTTTTACTGATGAAAACTGAAAAGTATATTTAATAAACAGCGATTGTTTTGTTGCTGCTTGATTTTTTTATATATAGTTTATGACTCTCTAAATCCTCGGCAGCTATTCGGATGGGGTTTCCACTTTGAGGGGTGGGGTAGGGGGGTGGGGGGTGGGTTGGTGGGGGGTGCAGTAGGGAAGACAAGAGCCGTACGATTTGCAGAATGTGACGCCCAATCAGCTTACCTCGATGCCGTCAGCTTTTGTCAAAACATGATACGACATCGTTGTACACAAAAACGTCGTCGTTTTAATGAAAAAATAAGTCAATTATGTTGCTCATGTATTCTTTACTAATTAAGTAATTAGGTTGGAATTAATATAATAGCTAAATTACAACTACACCCCTATGATATGGTCAAATTACGAAAAATCCCTAATGTTTGGGTAATTACAAGCACACCTCAATTATAAATCTTCTTACGCATCCACTTTTGCGGTTTCAAATTTAGTGAAATATTTTAAATTATATGAAATATTCTCAATTTTTGGCTTATATATATCTGATTGTGGCGCATCAAAAGCTGTATTTTTGCACAAAATTTGTACAAACTAGAGAACATTCCAGAAAATCTAGATGATTATGTTGAATTTGACACCATAAATGTGAAAATGTAAGAAGATTCATAGTTGAGGGGTGGATGTAATTATTCAAACAATATGGGGTTTTTCGTAATTTGACCATACCTCAGGGAGGTGGTTGTAATTTACCCTATCTAATAATTACAAATAAATTGGAAAATGCGAGTAATAAAGTATCCAACGAAATCCAACACTACTTTTACTCGAAAAACTTTGTCCGACGAACAAGCACAAGTACAAACAAAACAAAAAAGTCGATTCCGAGAAGTGCAAAAAACAACCATTTCCGGTTATCGAATTCATCCTTAAACAACAGCTGTCAAAAATGCTCTCCCGGGTTGTCTCCGTGCCAAAGGTCCATTTCCGGTTATCTAATTATTATTATTATTATTATTATTATTATTATTATTATTATTATTATTATTATTATTATCATCATTATTATTATTATTATTATTATTATTATTATTATTATTATTATTATTGTCCAATAAAACTCTCTTGAGTTTATTGTACTTTACAATTTAATTATATTGTAATGTAGAAGATAGATTCAATAGAGTTTTATTTGATTTACTTGGATATACATGTCAATTTTCACCAATTGATCTCCTACACGAGTAATGAGTTATTATTAGATCTTGAATTTTTACTTTCATAATCATTCTATATCTAATAATAATAATAATAGTTACATTGATGAATATTACAAATCAAATGACCATAAATCATACTCTTTTAATACTTCAAACTTTTTTCTTTATTGTTTTAAAAAAAATTGGTCTATTTACTATTAATTTGTTTTTTTTTTATTTTAGCATGTAAACCATATAAGTTTGGTTGTAGATTTTGCAATATAATTTTTTTGTTATGAATACTATGCAATGTCTTATGGATTTGTGTATATCGTTATTTATATTAAAGTATGTTCCGTAGTTACGAAATATAGGTTTATTTTAATTTGTCTTTACATTTGAATTTTAGTTTATTTAGTATTTGAATTTCATTTTAAGTTTGTTGCTATTCTCTTGTATTTATTTGAGTGTTACAAATGAAGTAATTAAAAAAAAAATTAGTGATTTCACGTAAATTTACACGAAATGCAAGCTTGCATTTCACGTAAATTTGCACGAAATGCAAGCTTGTATTTCACGTAAATTTACACGAAATAATACAAAATTTTGAAAAAAAAGCGTTTCGTGTTGTATTGCACGAAATGGAGTGTTTCATTTCGTGCAACAGAACACGAAATTCATAAAAATGTCGAAAATCGACAAAAACAACATTTTTTAATCTCAAAATCGAAGTAGGTTTCATCCTTCTTGATAATTATTGTGTTCTAAATGATATTATCGGACAAATTTGACGATTTGGTAAGTTTTAAAATTCGGAGGTTGAGAGGATTTCGAAAAATGTTAAAGGGTTTCTTGACAAATGAATTATTTCGCACTGTAACCGGAAAAAAATGCACTATGAATAGTAAACCCCTTTGTGTAATGGTAAGCGGACCTCTCCCCGGGCCCATATGAAATCAAATCCGAAGGTATAGTTGAATCTCCGTAAATTAATAAGTTTCCGTAATTAATAATTTATCCTTTGTTCCGATTCATATTAAACATATTAAATATTACTAGTTTGATAATGTAATATTTGTATAAATTTATAAAACTTTGCTATTTCCAATCGTATTAATTTTATAAATGTTTAATTGTATTGATATACATTTTCTATTAGATCTTGATAAAAACATGACACAACGCCGCCTTACCAAACGTAGGACATTTTATTTAATAAATTGAAAACTAGCACACCCTAATTTTTTTTTTCTTTCAAACCATTATTTTGCCGACATATCGTATTATTAATCGCCAAAATACGAGTTTTATCAAATTTTATGCATAACTCAAACTAGTGTCTACCGCAAACGCTTGTGAAGCTTTCTTAAATCGAATTGTTTCAACATTTTTTATGTTTTTAATTCACAAAAACACCCAAAACTATTTACTTTGAGTCGAAACTTTTATTCTTTAATTTAAAGACAAATTTTGAGTTTAGATGATTTTCCATAATTTAATTCTGAAAATAAAGAATGTTATTTTAAATTTAGAAATTCAACACCACTAAATATAGTAAATTTATATGGGGTCTTTACAAATAAGCCCATTAATGGTACTTATTTATAAAAAAAAGATTTAAACAAAAAACCCATTTACCAATAAGTCCACACATGGTCCACATTTTTTATAAAGGACTAAAATAACCCCTCATACTTTAATATGCTCCAATTTCATCATTAACTTTATTTAACCTCAATTTGACCCCAAATTTCACAAATTATTTAATTTTGACCCAATTTTTTTTGTTTTTCAAAAAAAAAAAATCAATTTTTTTTCCCCACTGGATTCCGGCGTTGACTTTTCAATTTTTTTTTCTTTTCTTCTGGATTTTTTCGCCGGTCTTCGGCGTTGACTTTTTCGATTTTTTTTTCTTCTTTCCTTTCTTTCTGTAACTTTTTTTTTCGTTTAAACAACAATATTGCTGTGATGGACAGTAATATTAACTATCTTACTGTTAAACACAGTAAAATTAACTAAACTACAGTTTAACATAGTAATATTGCTATATTAATCTCTAGCACAGTAATATTAACACAACAAAACTCATTATTATTGTGTAATAGAGTAATATTACTATGTTGACCGTTCAACAAATGTAAACATAATAAAAAAACCAAAAGACTTAATATTACTGTGAGTGACAGTAATATTACTATAACAACAGTAATATTACCGTCAAAACCACAATAATAGACAGTAATATTATTACATTACTCCGTGAATAACTCAAACAAACAAAAAATCCAAACAAAATAATAATATTGATGTGGTTGACAACATATATTACTATAACAACAATAATATTACCGTCAACCACAGTAATATTATTGTGTTTACGGTAATATTACAATAATAGACAGTAATATTATTACGTTATTCCGTGAATAACTCAAACAAAACAAAAAACCCAAAAAAATAATAATATTGATGTTGTTGACAGTAATATTATTGTGTTTACAGTTATTTTACTGTCAACGACAGTAATATAATTACGTTGACTTGTCAACAAATCAAACAAAATAAAAAAAAACAACAAAAAATAAAAAATAATAATATTACATTAATTTACTGTCAACGGCAGCACAATTACATAAATGTATTGTCAACGGCAGTACAATTACGTTAATTAACTGTCATTGACAATATAACTACGTTAATTTACTGTCAGTGACAGCACAATTACGGTCAACGTTTAGCGGCGGACGTAAAAAAACAAAAACAAACCAACCAAAAAAAAAAAACTTAAAAAAACACTAAAAAAAGTTAACGCCGGAGACCGCCGGAAACCGGCGAAAAAATTCGGAAGAAAATAAAAGAAAAAAGCAAAAAAAAAAAAAAAAAAAAAAAAAAGAAGTCAATGCCGGAGACCGGCGAAAAAATCAGAATTTTTTTTTGAAAAGTCAATGCCGGAATCCGGCGGCAAAGAAAATGTTTTGGGTCAAAATTGAATAATTTGTGAAATTTGGGATCAAATTGATATTAAATTAAGTTAATGATGAAATTGGAGCATATTAAATTATGCTAAAATATTAAAGGGATAGACTTATTGGTGAAAGAGATATAGCCCCTAAACCTAGAATAATAAACATGTTTTGTTGGGAACTTATGCACAAAACTCCCAATTTATATATATGAGTGAAATCTATGAATTTTATTTAGAATATCAAAGAGATGATAAATGGGTGGAGTAGAACTAAAAAGAAAAAAAAATTGACATGCATTTACTAAAAACCGTGGTATTTATCATTCTAGTTTCTTATTATATTTATTACTTTATTTATTATAAAATAAATAAAAATTATAGGATGATTTCTTTTATCAATAATAAAAGAGAATATATAAAAAATTCGAAAATACTTTAATTCTAAAATTGGACTTTATATCTGAATTAATGTTTAGGCCCAATGTGTGTAAGGTTAACTGGACCTCTACCCAGCCCAAATCAAATTTAGAGATATTTATAAGAGGTAATATGCCAGAAGTCCATCAAACGAAACTTAATTTGAACTAAATGACCTCAAACGAAACTTAATTTGAACTAAATGACAAGTTAAAATCAAATCTTTTAATTAAATCCTTAGTTTGAAATAATATATGAGCAACATCCCTAATTTTTTTATTATTCCTATCTTGCTCTTATACCCTAAATCCTATAACTTATACATTCATGTTTCTTCAATTCAGATTTTTTTTTTCTCTCACGTTCTCTCTCCCTCTCCATCTTCTCTCACGTTCTCTCTCTCTCTCTCGCGCGCTTTTTTCTCTTTATCTCCCTTTCTCTCATCTCTCTATATCACTCTTTTTCTCCTGTAGAAGCACGAATCGAAGGCCGTCGTTGGCAGTGGCAGGAGAGGAACCAGTAGCAACGGTGGTGGAGGCGCGACGACATGGGCTGTGCGGCGGTGGGTGGGGTCGTGGTGGAGGCGACGATTGCATGGGCTGTGCGGCAGAGGTTTGCAGGGGCTGTGCGGCAGCGGTGTTGGGGCAGATCTAGGGTTTGGTGGGGCGTGTTTAAGTTTTTTCGATTTTGATGTCTATAGATGTCTGTGAATGTTTATGAGTGTCTGGCGGCTAGAGTTCAAAGGAGGATTTAGGGTTTCAAATGAAGATTTAGGGTTTTAAGATGTCTGTGGGTGACTACGGATTATTACGGTTTCTATGTGTGTCTGTAAATGACTATGACCGGAAAAAAATTATAATTTTCAATATTATGTAGAAAAAAAATAGATTCTTAATGAGAAAAAAAAACAAAAAGATAGACTATTCTACATAAAAAAAAAAAAAAAACGAAAATGCTAGATGCAAATTAAAAATGTTAAATAATACCATAGTACATTATAGAATATTTATAATCTGACTTAATTTTTGAATTTGTGAGTGGAGGGCATTTTTGGAATGAATTTTGATAAATGATGTGAAACAAATTTTAATTAGGCATGTCATTTAGTTCTAATAAGGTCATCAGGGACTTATATCTTAAGACCCATATTTATAATACATTTCTTATATTATATTTAATTTTTTTTGGCTTTATTTATTAAGAAATAAATAATAAATTAAAAAAAAAGTTTTTTTTCATAGAAACAGAAAAACAAAAAGTAATCGGTTAAGCAGTGGAGTTAAGAATCATAGCTGCAAAAAGACACAATATACTTTTGATTAGATCTTTCCTAGAAAGAAGGAACCGAATTAGCATTGAACTCCCACTTCTCATGGTGCGATGAGTAGAGAGAGAAAGTGAGAGAGAGAGAGAGAGATGGGAGAATATGCCGTTACAGCAGATAAAATGATGCCTATATTCCAATTGAATCAGAAAGCTGACACGTGTCGCGCTACCTGGCAACTCCGCCATTACCCTCTCTCTCTCCTCCACAACATACTTCTTCTCCCAATTCAATCATACATCATGTATATACAACACTGATATATATTTATTATAGATACAAATCATTTTCCCTTTCTATTTGTTTTTTTTGGTTTTTATATCATATATAGCCCTAATGTTTTAGCTATTATTAGTTTCTTCGATTTGGGGAAAATAAGGGTTATCAGAGATCTATGAGGTTGCGGGATTTTCTGGAATTTTCTTAAATCAGGGCAGTGGTGTTGTCGGAATCCCCTTTTCTCAGGTAATTCGGAATTTTAATTTGATTTATTACTATCGAATCGGATTCCGTTGGACTCGATTTGTTTGTTAGTTAATCTTCATCCCGAAAGTTTTTGGTGAATCTGCGGTCCAAAGTTTTGAATGTTGCTGTTGCATTTCGGATATCGATCCAAATAAGAAGAATTCCAATTTTTTGAAATATTGTTAGCTTAGAATATCCAGTTTCGTTTTTATTAAATTTTGATTCGAAATGTTTTGATCTTTTTGTTTCTAGTGTATAAAGCTGGTGTGCCTTGAAATTTCCGGCTGAGGAATTGGGGAATAGAATTGTGAGCAAGCGATTATTTTTTTACGAAACCGATGGGAACGTTTAATGTGTGAAAACAGCAAAGCAGAACCATCTTATTGATAGTCGATCGTCAACAGCAAACGCTGTACTCCGATGGATAGCCCTAGAGTGACTCCATTGTCTGTCCTGAGCTCAAGCGACGAAAATCTACGTGTCAAATTCCTATGTAGTTTCTCTGGCAGTATACTGCCCCGCCCGCAAGATGGTAAACTCAGATACGTTGGAGGAGAAACTCGTATTGTGAGTGTGCCGCGCGATATTACTTACGAAGACCTAATGGGGAAGATGAGGGAGCTTTATGAAGGTGTGACCGTGTTGAAGTACCAGCAGCCGGATGAGGATCTCGATGCTCTTGTATCTATCGTGAACGATGATGATGTCACTAACATGATGGAGGAGTACGATAAATTGGGATCGGGAGATGGTTTCACTCGGTTAAGGATGTTTTTGTTCGCCAATCTTGATCAAGATGGTTCTTTACATTTCGGTGAGGTGGACGAGAGGGACCATGAGAGAAGGTATGTGGATGCTCTTAATAGCCTTAACGAGTCTCCCGACTTTAGAAAGCAGAATAATGGTGAGTCTTTGGTAATGGTGGGTTCGTTGGAAGATGTAAATGCAGCTGAGCAGTACTTTAGCCAGATGAATTTAGAGAGCAGCGTCCATGGACAGAGAAACATGGAATTGCCCATGGCTCAGATGAATTTGAGGAACTTGACAATACCTCATCTTGGTTCGGGGCAGCTTCAACAAGCGGTTACTCAGAGGTACAATGAAATGGAAGCACCGTGGAGCCCAGCTTACTATTCGCCAAGACAACAACAACAACCACCGGATCAGAGACCGGTTTCCGAATTTCCGACTTCGCCTTCTTCTTCTCGGTACCGAACTCCGTACGGTGAATTTCAAGAGAAAGTGTTCGATAGAATGCCTGAGGATTACAATCGACCACAGATTCCCAATCCCTCTTTGTATGAGCAGCAGCTGCAGTTCACAGACAATGTTGTCTTGATTCCAGCAGGGGCTGTAGTGAACGAAAAAGCTGGTTTTCCTGGTAATATACTCCAAAGTTCGTCTAATGCTTATGAAGCGAGCAATGTCTGCGAGCATTGCCGGATGTTGTTTCAGAGAAATCAGGTTTATCCGGAATCTTCTTGGAAGGGTGGTGAACATTCGCATCTCGAGCCGCCGAATATGGGTAATGGATATCTTCAGGTGCCTAATTCATGTGCTGATTGCCCACCAAACAGGGAAGTGTACCCTCCGTACTACTGCAGGGAGCACACTGATCATCGGGCAATGTATTCTGAGACGCATGGTCATGAAAGAGGATGGGTTTCGCCACATCACACGAATCCTTGGGCAGAGGAACCGAGGCCACACTTGTCTTTATCGGGGAGGTTGGGTGATTCTTACATTGTGGAGAATGGTATGACTGTTCCACTTGGACATGGTAATAATGTATGTGATGGGCACCATTTGCAGTCACACTATATACATCATGAAGACCAACGGTATGCTCGTTCTGGGGTTGATTACGGCGGTCAAGTGTTTCAAGAGCAAGTAGTGGCAAACGGATCGCAGGTTCATCTTCCTTCTTTGGAAGAGCGTGGTGGTGTTCATTATGGAACTCCTCCATATAATACGTATGGAGCAGAGAATCTTTATCAGGTGCCTCATGGTCATAATCCTCCTCAACCGACGTGGAGAAATGTTCATGGCCCATTGCAGGGTGGTCACCCCTACGAAACATCTGTTTCTTCTCAGATAGTTAATGGTTCTGTTCCTATGGGCTTCATCCGAGGTACGGTGGAGGGTAGTCCGAGGGTGAGAGCTGGTTTTGAGAATCAAAATCCTTGGGCAGAGTCTTCGCAGAAAGTTATGGGCTTTGAGGGCTCTCTCATGCCAGACTATTTGCATGTTCAGGCTGTAAAACATACTCCGAACACTTACGCTTTGGAAAATCAACATCCGTGTACGCATGAAACCATCCGACCAGCATCTTTGTTGGTTAATCCCATCACTTCTAAAGATAGTTTTATTAAGTCTGATCCGGTGTCACTAATTGATGGTATATCAGTGACTGTTGCTGCTTCTGGATTGGACTCTCGGTATGACTGTGAAACACATAAATCAGACAGGGTGAACGAGAGCAATGTGTATGAAGGGAGCAAAGAGAAAAACAATGGAGGGGAGGTCAAAGATTCTGGTGTTTGTGGTGCAATTGACAATAATTCAGATGTTTTAGCTCCTATTTTCATCAGTTTAGAAGCTCCCAAACCTGTTGTTGAAATAGGCGAAACTAATGCGAGCATTTCCGTGGAGAAACAGGATGACCGATTGGAGTTCTTGCCCGAATTAATGGCCTCCGTGAAGGAGGCAGCTTTGCAGAACTTGATGGATGTGAAAGCTAAAGTTCAAGAAGACATTGACATGGGCAGTGGACATGACATTACTGCAAAAGAGAATACTCAAAATCATAAAGACGGGGTGGTAAGAATTAATCAATGTTAAAAGTACATGTTTTTTTTTCTTCTTTTCTTCTTTTTGCTTTTTTCATTTTGATCTTTCTTAAAGTAGCTCTCTTGTTACATAGGATGGAAATGTGGACCTGGAGGTAGATTCTGATAATGACAATATTAACCACTCCAAGATAGAGCTGACAAAAGCCGAGGCAGAAGCAGTCGATAGAGGATTACAGGTTCTCATCCATATTCTTGAATTTTTATACCTGCCGTTTACACTGTCTCGATATTTCTCATGATCTTTATGCCATGAGAGACGGGTTTTTCAGGAAGAAGTGATCTTTCTATTCTGCTACCATTTGACTATTCCTATATTTTTCTATCCTTGTAGACAATAAAAAATGAAGATCTGGAGGAGATTCGGGAGTTAGGTTCTGGGACATATGGTTCTGTATTCCATGGCAAGTGGAAGGGGTCAGATGTAGCAATAAAAAGAATAAAAGCTAGCTGCTTTGCTGGAAGACCATCCGAGAGGGAACGTCTGGTATTATGCCTTCATAAACTTAATTGCATTGAATTTTCAACAAGAATTCCTTCACATCTTAACTTTATTTCTAAGCAAATGTCCTTGGAAAATATTTACTTTTCCTATTTTTCTGGATAATTGACTTGTTGTATTTTAACTGCATATTATGTATGTAGATCGCCGATTTCTGGAAGGAGGCTTTGATATTAAGTTCATTGCACCATCCAAACGTTGTCTCCTTTTATGGAGTAGTTCGTGATGGCCCTGATGGATCTTTAGCAACGGTGACAGAGTTCATGGTTAATGGATCCTTGAAACAATTTCTGCAGAAAAAAGACAGGTATTTATTATTATTATTATTATTTTTACTTTCTCTGTGATTGTCTGGCATATTCTTAATACTGATTATCGACGTACTATGTTTATTATTTTTAAACAGAACAATCGATAGACGTAAGAGACTGATAATTGCGATGGATGCTGCATTTGGTATGGAGTACTTGCATGGGAAAAACATTGTTCATTTTGACCTAAAATGTGAAAATCTGCTTGTCAATATGAGAGATCCACATCGTCCAGTGTGCAAGGTAGCTTCGTAGTTACAAATTTCAGCTTTCGCATAGTAATTTTAAAAAAACCCAAGAAGTTTAAAGTTCTACTGTCAATCTGTCATTGCAGCTTCGCTCATTTATACTGATATTTTTTTTTGAGTTTAGATTGGTGATCTAGGATTATCGAAGGTAAAACATCATACTTTAGTTTCGGGAGGTGTTCGTGGGACATTACCGTGGATGGCACCTGAACTTCTAAGTGGCAAGAGTAACATGGTTACAGAAAAGGTCATAATTTGTCAATACCATCCTCTCTCTCTCTCTCTCTCTCTCTCTCTCTCTCTCTCTCTCTCTCTCTCTCTCTCTCTCTCTCTCTCTCTCTCTCTCTCTCTCTCTC